CGAAGCAGCCTGGATCCCTGCCAGTCTCCTAGCTTACCCTGCCCTGTCTCCCTGGGAAGCTGCCAGGCTCTGGGAAGACAGCGTCTGTCCGTCTGTCTGATGCTGCCTCTGGAATTTCATCCTCACTGTGGTCTGCTTACATGGATGTCCACCTAGGAGATGAGCAGCCCATGCATGCCCCCTACCCCTCTGTAAATCTACATTTCCTGAAACGAGCCCCCCCCCCCAAATGTAAGGCAGTTCCTTGCCTAGAAGACCAGACCTGCTCACTGCAGGCATGCCTAGCTGCATCCTTCTAATCAAGAAGAGCTTAAAAATTCACCTTATCACTTTTATTCATCACTCCTCTGATTTTCTGCATGCCAAGGGAATCCTAAAAGGGCAGAAATTGGAGCGATTTGAAGTTTTCCTTTTATAAGACGGGAACTCTTGCAAACTTACTTGTCTTGCAGATGTTACCATGTGCCCTACTTTATTGATCCGATATGGATCAATTACTGTATCTCGGAAGATGAGCTTGTGAACTGTGTCTCGGTGTCACACCCTAGATAAGAAAGGAGGCAGTACAGAGATATTAAGCTTATGTTGTTTGCATGGCTCATGCAAAAAGTGTTGTGAAAAACTTGGTAATGAGGTCATCAGTGGGGTGGAGCTCTCAGGAACCTCCAGTCCCAAAGACCCTGTCCTGACTCATTACCTCCACCCTATCCAGTCCAGTGGTTCAAGGAGTTTAAGGATAATCCAGTTGCACAACAGGGCTCGGGAACCCATCTTCACCTGCTGAGGATGACTCAAATTATTATTATTATTATTATTTTTAGAGTACAAAACCTGAAAACGGATAACTTTGTTTTTTCTTGAGAATGAAGCAGCTTGCACAAGATATTCTGTACTCCAGGATCCTTGCTGAGGATTCTTAGAGAAGAGCCACAGGCCGTTCGTCCTAGGGAATTTGAGCTTGCTCCCTTTTGGAGAAATTTGTGTATAGCATCCACTCCCATGCACCATAATGTACTGCTGCCTGGAATACGGATGTGTCATTTGGGTCCATTCTGTGTGAATTGATGCATGTCATGTTCACAGAACCCTCAATGTTCTGTACTTATCTGCTTAAGCCATGCCTTGAGACATTTAGATAAACAGTCTAACAAAAAAAAAAAAAAAAAAAAAAAAAAAAAGGCATTTCTGATAACACTGCATCTTTCTGGCAATTTGAGCTTCACTCTTGGTCTTTCCTCCTTTAACTGCCTCTAACCACCTCCTGCAAACACATTTCACTTCTTTCTTTGGCAATGCCAGTTTTAGTGCCTTCCATTAATTTTGCCTTGCATGTAGGAACCCAGCTGCTCCTCTGCCTTCCCCTGCTCTTTCCATCATTAAGAAGGACACCGCCTTTCATTTTCACTTTAACTTCCCACATTGTCTTCTCCCTGTTTCTTGCAAGCCTTAATTCTCTTTACACCTGCATGGCAGAGACAATTATCATCTTATGAGATAACTGATGCCTGAAAGCCACCTAACCTGTCTAAGGGCACTGTATATATAAGGGTGGATCTAGTATTTAGACACACCTAATTATTATTAGCCTTATTACTTATAACCTGTCATTATAATTTTAATATTGCACATTAGCCAAACTTATGACAGAGCCAGGCAGGCCAAGGCATGGGACAGACAAGAGAAGGGGCAGAATGCATCTTGCACACAGAGTAGGTGCTGGTGGGAAGGCGTTTTTACTGTTTAAATCCCTTTTCAAGTTGTGACTTGAACTACAAGGAGAGCATTGAATCACAGCCTGGCTGAGGCAGGAAGGGACCTCTGGGTCCATCTGGTGAAACCGCTGCTCAAGCAGGGCCACCCAGAGCAGAGTGCTCAGGACCATGTGCAGAAGCTTTTGAAGATCCCCAAGGAAGAAACTCCACAGCTTCTCTGGGCACTGGCCTTTATAGCAGCTTTTTATTCATGCTTTAGCCTTATTAACTTGAGTTGAAAGAACCAATGCAATGCAGATTCTTACTGCAGAAGAGAACTTGGCACTGTCATTCAGATGTTTCCTCTGGAAGGCATAGCTCTAATGTGTATTTTATTTATTTGGTGACAAGAGCCTCCTCTGTCTCTAAATTTACTGTGTTTAACAGCACTCTGTGACATCAAAAGTGCTCTTTCAGAGCAATAGGCTTGAAGGAACCAAAAGTCAGCTGCCAGATTTTCTTTCTGAGATTAGAATGTTTAATGCTAATGAACAGCTAATGAACTAGAATGAAGATTTAATTAATAGCTTTAGAATTAATAGATTTTTAAATTGGATGCTAGCACCACACCTCTGTGAGCCATAGGAAAGTACAGGGATAAGGATTCCCTTTGACAGTATCAGTGCATAACATGAACACCAAGAAAAATATTTAAAAGGAAATACTAAAAATGGATTAATGGCAAGGGCTGAAGTCCTGAGGCTCTACACTCCAAAACCTGGACCCCCTATTGTCAGAATGGGTCTACCATACTTGTATTCTACCATACTTGTATTCTAAGAAGGCTTAGCTAATCTCTGGCACTTTTCATGGTCTTCACCAAGAGACAAAATTGTTGTTCTGGGCTGTATTTGTCTGAACAGGCAGTGACACTACATCCTTCCCACCTCCACAAACCTCTGGGTTCTCACTGAGGTCCCTCACCCCTCTCGCTGAGGTCCCTCACCCCTTTTGTACCCTGGTACAGAGAAGACATGAATCTCTTCTTCCTCAGAGCCCAGGTCTTATGGGGTGGGACGAGGTGGGGCTACTTTGTGGAGAAGCCTCATCCATGCCACTCTGCCAACTCTTCCCATGTGTGGGGATTCAGATGGCCTGACATCCTCCCAGAAAGCACAGCCCCATCACTGCCCAAATGAGGTGGCTCTGACCTCAGGAACATGTCTGGGTGATGGGTGTGCTGTGTGTGGCTCAAGAGGTGCACGTTGGCTAGCTTTGATATGAAGCTAAATTATACGTGGACATGCAAGCTGCAGTTACAACTTGGGCTGCAATTTAGCATGCCCTCAGGTTTTATCAAGGAGAGCAGTACTCACCTATTAAAGAAATTCAGTTCTGTTTTGTTTTTAAGATGAAAGATGCTCAGCGAGATTACAGTAGTGTAATTATTCCAGAGCACCAAGCATCTCATTTAGTGGTGGGAAAGAATTCTTCGGCTTCAGAATTATTTGTGTGTATAACTATTTAATCACTGCTTTTTGTTGTACCGTAGCTAGAAAACCTTTCTGTAAGGGAGGAAATCCACATAATAAGAAAGCTGTATTTTGTCATTAAATACTTAAAGATGAGACTCAGTATCTAGGGTGTAAGTGGGACATGAGCAGGCTGGAATTGCTGACAATGAATTCCCCTTGGAAGCAGGGTCAATTATGCTGAAAGAGATTAAGTGACAAATGTAAAAAAGGCAAGAAATAGAAGAAAGACATCTTAATGTCAACAAAAATGGAAAACAGTGGTGACTGAATAAAGGATCTCCATGTAGGTGGAGTTTCTGAACTTCCAATGGTCTCAAAGACTGACACTGCAAATACACAGCAGAAATTCTATGTTCATTTAGAAACATAGAATTATTTAGGTTGGAAAAGACCTTTAAGAGCATCAAGTCCAACTATCTACCTGACTTACCAACTCCCATCACTGAAGCAAGTCCTTTAGTGCCACTTAAGTGTTTATGGAAAAGTCTCCACTGAGTGTGTCTGTGCCTACAAAAGAACCTTAAATACATATTTTTGGATACCTAATTGTAGAGATTTCCATCTGGAAGTAAGTTGCAACCCAATGTCCTCCTTTCTCCTATGGCAACCACATTGTTTCACAACCCAGTCCAGCTTTCAGACACAATGATTTGTGTTGCTTTACTGAAAGACTGACAGGACAAGCAACCAGGGCTTTTAGATTACTAGAAATTGTTTCTAGAGAAGACTGTTATAAACATAATATAAAACCTGAAAAAAGGAAGGCAGATATGGATCTGATTTTAAGAAGTAATAAAGTTCCTTTGATTTGGGGTACTGGTGGAAAAATCAGCTTGTTTTCTGGAAAAATATGAATTCTATCATTAATACAGACTTTTTTTTTTCATTTTTCTGTTGTCTTCTGCTCTCCTTGGTCCAGAGTCACAAAGTTTCCCATACTTTCAGCACAGTTTGGTTAAATCACCTCAAACAGCTCCAAACACAGGAAGAGGAACTGGCTCCCAGAACAAAAAAGTCTTTTCATTTTGTTTTCTATGTCCAATAGAGGTGAACAAATGAAATCAAATAAGTGCAAAGCACAATTTACAATGAACATAAAAGTACAAAACTGATATACTGCTATGGTCTAAGCAATATAATAGCACTGAGTATATAGATAATGAAAGAGCAGGCAGTGGTGATCCAGTTCTTTAGTTCCCAACTCCATCTTCAGCCTTGCAATTAGGCAGTGAAAAAACACTCAGTAATATTAACCCTCCAGTTTGAGTTTGTTCTGAAAATAGGTTTCCAGGTGACAGCTCTTAAACCACACTGGAAACCTGTACCAAAATGTGGATGTCCAGGGTCCAATGCAGGGCTGTAGACTAAAATCTGTACTCTTCCACCATGATTCTCATCCTTTGGCTTTTTGTTTTCCTGCATAATGGTGTTTTCTGTTTTCTTGCAACCACTATATTACAGAATCACAGAATTTCTAGGTTGGAAGAGACCTCAAGATCATCGAGTCCAACCTCTGACCTAACGCTAACAGTCCCCACTAAACCATATTCCACATCTGCTTGGAATTGCTATGATATGATAAAATCTGCAGAAAAAATAAAGGCTAAGGATAATGTTTTGTTACAATCTGCAATAATAACATAGGCAATTTCCTTTCAGACAAATGAACCTTCAGACCAATTTAGAAAATTATAGCATGGCACAGGTGAGGGCAATAGCAATTATGCCGGCTTTGTCTTTAAGATTTAATCTTAGTATGTAAAGCAGCTGTGTAAGCATCAGAGAGCAGTATGGGGATTTCTAAAACCAGAAAGTAATGCGCAACAACATCATCTTCATCTTCCCAGAAAAAGTAAGAGGAGAAATCTTTTAGATAGTTTTTCAGCATTACCTTACGTTGAGGTAACTTTAAATCTAAATCTGTGAACCCTATGTCTGGGAGTCCTCAGCTATACCCCAGATTTACGTTTTTTACCTAGGTTGCTGCCTCTGTATGTGAAGCAAGAAATTCTTTAGAGTAAAATACAAGATCCTTGATGTTTTTTCTTTATATTTTAAGAAGTATTTAGCTTTCACCTGTTGAGGGAGGAAGGTGATTCCTTTACTTTTAATAATTCTTTGGTGGAAGATAACTAACTTCCAGATGATGTGAAAAAGCATACTGGAATATTGCCAGTTACCCTTGCATTCAATTTATTTATTGTTTAATTTATTTATTTTCAATTGTATCAATAAAATGTGAAGGTTGAACACAGTTTGGGCTTGAAAGATCTTACTTACTCTTATGGTTTTCTACTTTATATAAACCATCAATTCACTTTGCTTAAAGCTGCCAGGGAAAAGCCTCAGATACCACCACATGGATTGTCAAGCCAGTGTGGTGTTCTGCAGGTATTATTGTTGGTAGCTAAGAACCTGTAAGATCAACAAGTTGTACTTGCATTAGAAAACACTCAAAATGTTTGAGTCCTTATATACTTTTATAAAATATTTAGTTTAGTAACTCCTTTAATTGCTTCAGCTGTCAGTCACTGTAATTATTAGTTATTTCTCATTCCCACAGATTATATGACTCATTATTCTAAGCAGCTTGCTGTCATATCTCTATTGGCTGCTTACATTCCTCTAGTTATTACGCTGCTTTGATGGCCATGAAACACAAATAAAGTCATCTGTTATGTTTTTTTTTGGTCAGTTTCAGTTTTAATAATTTGCCACAAGAAGATCAAGAAGATAGCTAGGAGGTTTATGATGTAAATGTGAATCACAGCATCAGCATTTGACAGGCCTTGTGAATTTATTCTGCTTGAGGTTATGGACCTGTACTTCACATAATGTTTTCTCTGAGACCTCTAATCCCACAAGTAACATGTATTCTCTCTCCATGCTGGCATTCAACATGAAAGTTGGAGAAGGAAAAATCAATTTCTTCATAGCTATTTGTATTTTTTTTACGTTTATTTTGAAAACATCTTAGAAAAGGATGAATTCTTGAGAATGTGAACTGATGATAGATTGTAAAAAGCTTGGCCTAGTGCATCTCTTTATTTAAATTTCTAATTGAATTTTGTGCTCACGTGCAGGAGAGTATCTTTTCAAAGGATGGTACCGAGTTATAAACTCTAGTTCCAAAGACCCTGGACTAGTGTACACAATGGCTGTGGACATTAATGGCTAATTAATAATAATAAAAATATTAATGTGAAAATATTTCCTTTCTTTAAAAAGAAAATTCCAGTAGGTCGTTTGTTTTTAATAGACGAGATGTCATATGATAGATTGGAATCCTCCTTTCTTTATTCTTCTGAGCTATCTTCACAATCACAAGTGTTTAAAGGAAATCCACTAATTTTACCATGAGATTTTTCTGCAAAAAGACAAGAGGGGAGGGGGAAGGAGGGGAATGCATGTACCATGCTGTGTGGGACTGGAAATTATCTACTAATCACAGGCTGTTATCAAAGTAGTTGCAACAAAGCATGGTATCACTGGGGAAAACATTCCGTTTCACAAGATGTAGAGCATGATTGCATAAAGGTGTCTCCCAATTTCTCTTCTCTATGACAGTGTATAAAAGTGCTCGTAACTCGGGTGTCTCTAGCTGCCTCTGCTGACTTATTCCTCTTGGTGACTGGGTAAGTCCAATATAACTGTATCCGTTTGTAATTATAGACATGGTTTTATAGGTAGTATTATTATGAGGTTATTTGTCCTATCCCATTTTAGGGTAGGAACTTATTATCTAAGAACATCTTACTTTGAAATTGTAATGTGCAAATAGGGTGGATATAGGCATCACCATGAGCATGTGGAAAAATGAATGGCAGTTTCAAAAATGTGGATGATAGCAGCTCCTAGGAATTGAGCAGTTATACCCATTTAGAAGAAATGAAAGATGCTGTACCTTCCTCCGTTGCTCTTTCTGAGTTCACATACAAAAATGAAACCAAAAATGTTGTAAAAGAATGATATAAAATGTTTAGTGAGAGGCAAGGTTTTCATATGCCATATGAGAACAGGATACTGGGCCAGGTGTTAAGGAGAATATTGTTGTTTCCGAGAACTTAGCAATAGAACTAAATAGAGGATTCCCAACTCTAATGGGACCTGACTGATATTGCTACTTAGAAATTGAACAAACTCATCCCACATAAGCAACTAGTTTTTTCTTCATTAACATTTCCTTTGCTACTTTATATCGCAATAATTTTCTAAAAATATTTCTGCATCTAGACTACCAGGGTCTGTAGTTTTGACCCTTCACATGCTTTGGCTGTTAAGAAAATCTTTGTTATGTTTTTCAAGCAATGAATGGAATGGGGAAAAAAAGAGCTATATATAGATTTTGGGTTAAGAACAAGTAGACAAAAGGGTAAGATTCAAAGTGGAATGGAGTGTGCCTTAGAAATGGTGAGGTGTTTTTTTTAGTTTTTAATCACTAGATCTTAAGTTTAATGTAGACTACTTGGAGGTATATATTTGCACCTGTTCAGATGACTGCCATTCAATACATCTACACAAACCAAAGTACTCTCTAATACTGTTTGTTCATTCACTCCTCTGGCCTTAACTCTACTGGGCCAGTTCTCTCTACCTTTCAGGTTTACTTGCCTTGTGGAATGATGTCTACCTATGGACAGATGCTTAGCTCCCGCTGTGCTTCACCTTGTGAAGTGACGTGCCCACAACCATATGTCAACTGTTATAATGAACCATGCATCAGCTCATGTGGCGATTCAAGAGCAATTGTGTATGCACCACCTGTTGTTGTGACTTTCCCTGGACCCATTATCAGCTCGTGTCCTCAGGAAAGCTTTGTGGGAACTGCCATGCCTGAAATTGAGGGTCAGATGGGCTCCGGAGGAATGGGAATGGGCTCTGGAGGCGGAGGAATGGGAATGGGCTCCGGAGGTGGAGGAATGGGCTCCGGAGGTGGAGGAATGGGAATGGGCTCCGGAGGTGGAGGAATGGGCTCTGGCAGCTCCTGTGGTGGAGGCAGCTCCTATGGGATGGGTTCCCATGGCTCCTATGGCTCTGGGGGCTCTTATGGTGGGGAGGGCTCTTGTGGTGGCGGAATCTCTCGTTTGGGAAGCTTTTACCGAAACTCGTTTTTTTCAGGATATGGTAGAAATTATTTTCCCTTTTCTAGAGGATACTATAGGTATCGCTATGGAAACTGTGGGCCATTTTAAGTCTTTAAGAAAAAGTCATGACAAGAAATGATAAGATACAAACTAATGATTGATATATAGGCCTGGAAATTAGACATGCCAAGCAGCCTCTGCTCCGGCTGATGTCAGTAGGAGTTGGGGTTACCTGGGATCTCTTTGTGCTATGTTTTATCTAAGGCTTACAATCCCAATGTTGCATCACTTTGTCATTTGCTCATGTTATGTTTTGGTCTTTTGATCTTTCTGAAACTAAAGAAAGTAAAACAAATAATGGGACTTAACTGTGAAAGGGTCCAACTGAAAGAAGAATATCTTGTGAGCCCTGTGCTACTCTGACTGATGGTAGTCTTTGTTGAAATGGAAATTACATTCTTTGTCTCTGTGTTGCCTCATTCTACAAGAATGTATTCCACTTCTTGTTTGTATTAAAACCCTGTTGCATCATAGCTCAGTCTTCTGGCGTTCATTTTGCTGCAGTTCCTTCATTACAAACCAGTGTGAAAGAAGTTAACCTTATGCATCAATTCTGATGCCTCAAAGAGCATCATCAGGGAAGAATTAATTACTTTCTATGGACAATATCACTTGTCAGGAATTCATTAGAGTAACTTTCCCCTTTATGATATATACATCAAAATATACATAGTAATAAATAGAACAGAATCATAATTTAGATTGAAGGTCCTCTGGAGATGGTGTAGTATAATTATTACTCAAAGCCAAGATAACTTTGAAGCTAGGTCAGTTACTCAGGATCATTACCAGCAGTACCTTGAATATCCCTGATGAAATTGTTTAGACTTCCCACAAGGGTCTGAATGACTGCATGTGTCCTGACTCCATCAGAATGTAAGGTTGTGCTCTGATTTATCTAGTCTAAATGGCGAAATAGCTTATCCAATTATGTGTTAGTTAAGTCCTGGGTATTGCAGGCAGGGCCAAAATGAATGGTAAGAAGTTAGTCATATGCAACAGAGAATCAGACTGAAGCTCTTGCATCCTGTATCATGCCTTGAAGTAAGCTGAGAAACTCACCTTGATGGCTATATCAATCTTTTGGAGCTGTTTCGATTGTACTGTTGTTCACAAGAAAGAGCTCATGTGTAGGCTGAGCAAGGGCTGCTGTGCCAAGCACAACATTCACTTCCTTCTTCTGATTGTCTTAATCATTGTGGTTTGTTAATTTAATTGGAGCACTTATCCAGGAAATGATCTGATCTTGTTAGGAACATCACTGTGAGATCCCTCAGGCAACTGCTACACGGATGCACTCACGCTCCCTCAGAATTAAGGATCATGAAGCATCTCATGTACACTTGCTGACAGAACTGGCTAGGAAAAAGATTCTCCCACCACAACTTTACACCTGAATTTTAAATAAATAAATAATTTATAATCTCTTATATAGAATAGATCTCCTAGAAACCTTCTGATGAAACTGTAATTTCAATCTGAAGATTTAGGAGAAACATCCAGATAGCCATACTCATATTGTGGTACTTACGCATGCAGTGCTATGTGGTGTTAACAGAATATTGCCAGAATTATCTCTCCCAGTGTTAGCTTATGGAAAGTCTATCACACAAAATAATGATGTTCTGCTAGTTAGACCATAACCCATAGACTTAAGTAATAATATGTAATGTGGTAGTTAAGGAACTTTTGTTTGTATATAAATCCTTTGTCTTAGTGCAGAAGTGGTGTTCTCAGCTGCAAACTGAGGGCACACACAGAGGTGTACCAGTGAATGTGTGGGGGTCCCAAAGTAGCAAAGGAGTTACTGAACTGCTGTGTCTGCAGTTTTAGTTCAGGAGCATCCAACTTTGCTCTAATGTAATGCAGATAAGACAGAGGCAGCAATGCCCCAGCAGTTTTCACTGTTATTATTTGGTGTTTCGTTCCTCAACCTATTGAGTAAAAACAGTATGAGGGGTTTAGCACTCCTTTGTAAATTGTGAGGCATAACCTTCTCTCAAGTCATGTGTATGACAATTTATATAGATGTTCACAGCTCAGCCTCAAGATCACGAGCTCTGATCCTCTTAGTAATATGCAGGTAAGAGTGCATGAAGCTCAGTGTAGGTACAGTCCCATTCATCCTCTGCAAACCACATTATCCAAAAATCTCAAATTCAACTGAGTACGCATAAGCGACTCCTTCCAGGCTGTCACTAAAAAGCGTAGAAATACTTTTCTACACAAAAATAACAGTGGGATTGGTGCTTTCATGCAGCCACACATCAGGCTATTGAATTCCACTCCCCCTTGTGTATGTGAAGCTCCACCTACTAGTTTGACTCCTGCTGAGTTCACTTCCACTAAGCCTACTTTATTAAGCATAGTAGAGGAAAAGAAAACCCAGAAAGCCAGTGATATAATTCAACAAGACTTTTAATATGACATGAAATAAGTGCTACAGAACAGAAGAGTGCAGTTCATTAATGGTCTATTCCACAGTCCAAAGGCAGCCAGAAGGTCGGCATTGATAGTAACAGGCACTGCACTTTACAGGGTAAAGCTGAAATCTTGGCAGCCAAGTCCCACTTTCAAATACCAAAACATTTCTACTCCACCAGAAAGGACATAGTACAAGGCTAATAACAATTAAAGGAGAGAAAGTATTATATGAAACTACTATTGATAGAAGGTGAGGCATGACATGGAAAAAACAGAGGTGTGGGCCCAGTTTTCAGAGGTATCGAGCAAGGGTGGCTCCTGCTGACGCAAAGGGTTTTCGCCATCTCAAAGCCAGGCCCAGCTGCAGACTCAGATCTCGTGTTCTCATCTCCGAAGTTGATGCGTGGTCTGCAGGTGTTCAGGCTGCCTTAGAAGGAGCTGCAGTTTCCAAGTCGGGATCCACGACGGCTTCTGTAGGTCTGCCTGCTGTAACAGCTCCCTACGCCTGAGGCGCCTCCGAACCCAAAGGAGCCCTCATTTCCAAAGGAGCCTCCTCCCATCCCTGACAAGCCCCCACACCCAACAGAGCCTCCCATCCCTGAAAAGCCCCCAAACCCAGCAGAGCCTCCCATCCCCGACATGCCTCCAAACCCAACAGAACCCCGAGCTCCAATGGAGCTTCCCATCCCTGACATGCCTCCAGCTCCAAAGGAGACCCCCCTCCCGGACATGCCTCCAGAGCCAATGGCACCCCCCATCCCATTAGATTCATCAGAGCCATATTGGGTCAAAGCAGCATAAGGCTGGGGAATCGAAGTTCCCACAATGCTCTCCTGGGAGCAGCTGGTGAGAGTTGGTCCTGGGAAGGTGAGGACAACCGGTGGGGCATACACCACAGCTCTTGAGTCACCACAGGATGCAACACAGGGCTCAAGGCTTCTGCTGCAGGCATAGGGCTGTGTGCATGCCACCTCACAGGCAGGCACGCACTCGGAATTGATGCTGTTCATCATTTTTCTTGGGGAGTGGAGGTGAAGCTAGAAAAGATAATATGCAGTCAGGAAGCCATCACACTTGGATGAAAACAGGTTTCCAGTGTAAGTCAAGTGCACCTTATCCTTCTGCTGCAGCTGCTCATCAAATCCTAGTTCAAGCTTTCCTTCCAATCTCCATTTCTCTGCAAAATTTTCTACCCGATTGACCCCTTTTTAAGGCTTCTCATTTCTTCTTTTATGTACCATTCACATCTTTCATTCTTCAGAATCTCAGAAAATACTGGTTTTGAGACTAAGTTATCTGATCCTTATATAATTACTTGCTTAGAAAAATCCCATTCATTCTCTTTTCAAAGTAAACCTACAGAAAGGTTTCAGTATAACTAAGAAAATCTATAGAAGAAAGGAACAGACTCTTCCCTACTCTGTGTTTTTTTTCCTTTACCCTATATTTTCTAAAGATTTTTGCCTATTCTACTCTTCTCTTTACTTCATCTTTTCTAAAACTACTAGCGTTTTGCAAGATAAAATATATATATATATATATAATTTCAAGCAATTTACAGCTACAAAGACATGCATCGAAGTTAGACTTACCCTGTTGTCTGGGAGGAATAAGTCAGTGGAGCTGGAAGGATGGAAGACTTCTTAGCTCCATACCCTTTTATACACATTCTTAGACAATAGGAAGGACATGCAGTCATTCATTGTTCATCACATTCTTGTCACTCACAAAGAAAAAGTTATTCTTCTAATCCTTGTAATTGTTTTCCTTTCAATTCATAATTAGTGATCCATTTCCAGCCCTACTTTGAGTGACAGCTATCCAACACCCAACAGTTTCCTTTTGTCCAAACTTCATGAAAAAAAATCCCTTTGGCATGATTCTGGTTCCAGCTGAAGCAGGAGTTGATCTCTCCATGTACTTACTAGTAGCTTACTAATGTGTCAGTCCCACAATTTATTTGCAAGCCTTAGGTTTAGGTATAATACCTTCCATATTGAATCATCTCCCTTTGATGGGGAAGTCAGCAATCTTTGCATCCCCACCTCTATCTATTGACTGAGAAACATGGCAGAATTGGGCCTCTTGAGTTATTCTTGAGCACTGGCCAGGACAAGGCCCTGAAAAAGTCTTTCAAAAAGCAGATAAACAGGATTGAAGTGGCACATGATGGTTCTGATGACTCCTTTAAACTCTGAGCCCTCTGAGTAATTTCACTCAAGTACAAATCAAAATTTGCTTTGGGATGTAATGCACAGTGCATTGTGATGGGTATGGCTGTAAGGCCACTGCAAGAGCATACCCGGATCAATAAATCTTTTTGCTCCAACGTGGACCTCAAGCTTTGAAATGAGGTAACTTTTAAATTATCTCATTTTGCTTAGCACTGGGATCAGGCTGTTCTTGAAAGTCGACTTGCAGGGTTGATCTTTCTGGGGACTCATTCTTGGTGAATAGTCAACAAAAACTAGTAAGCAGGATTCAGTAAGTTTCCACTGTAAATCTAGTGTTGGCAGCAGTACAATATTGTGTAGGAATTTGGCTGTACAATTACAGCACAACAGAAAGCCCAACTTCATTATATGAGAGTCATGTTGTGTAGGTTTCTGGATGAATTACTAAATAGAAGCTATGTAAATAATTGCAGACATTAGAAGAGTCACCTAGCAAAGGGAACTCATCATTTTATAATTGTTAAAGATTGTACGTGGTGCTTCACATTGTTATTGTCACCTGCAGAAAGGTACAAAAGCAGGAACAGTTTAAGAGTCTCCTACGAAGTTTCAGGGATGGCAAAAACCCTTTGTGTCAGTGGAAACCACCCTTGCTCCATACCTCTGAAAATGGGGCCCACACCTCTTTTTGGCTTGACTTAATTAATGACAGCTTTTGTTAATCACCTTATGATTATAGATCCCTATTTTCATTGTGCCAATGTTAAAAAAAAAAAAAAAAAAAAAAAAAGTTGAAAGGCCTGACACAGCTATTGCAGCTATTGTCAATAAAACTGTGACAGCAGAAGAATAACTGGTGGAAAATGAGGTCTTCA